ACTTGAAAAGCTTAGCATAACCAGAAATAACAAAATCCCTAAGTCACCAGGAGGATGGCGAGCAACTCAAAAAGGGCCGTGATAAGAAGTAGCATCTTAACTGTGAAAAGAGTATATTTAGGCCAGTAGCATATAGGACAAACTGCCCAACGGAGTTAGTGAGAGTTAAAAATTTAGATCCTGGATGATTTGGAGAAATACAGATATAAACTATAATCCCATGTTTGCAATTCCAAATCTAAAAATCTCTTAAAAGCAAAAGTTTTGTTTTTGGGTTTTTGTTTTTTTTCTAGGTTTGGCCAAACTCATGAGACACCAAAACCCAATCTAAACAAACTTGAGAATATTTGTAACAGTTATTCATCCTGTTTAATGTGAATATTTATATATTTTGCTGCAGAATACCACACTTTATTACAAGATAATCCTGGGGAAATGCACAGTATGTGCAATTTATTACCTTTCCAAAACCTTAAAAAAAAAACAGAATTATTTGAAAACACATTAGGCCCCAAGGGTTTAGGGTAAGGATTGTAATTTACATCTTGAAGCAACAAAATACTTATTGATGCCACAGTTGGAAACAGAACACTGTTAGAAACAGCCAGAACCTGTGCCGCCATCCTTTTGTTCTTTTCTCATTATCTTTACTGAAAACATGTCAAGTTATCAAAGACCCCTCTATTCTCAATTATCTAGTCTCCCTTATGAATAAAAATGTAACTTTGTAAGAGAGCTGGATAGAGTCAGCATGAAATCTTTGGCCTCTAATTAGACAAAACTAAATGACTTACAGACACAGAAAGCAAACTAGTGATTTGGCATCCTCTTGTGTCATTGGGTTAAATAATTGGCCACGTGATCTGCAGGAGTCTCATCTCAGTTTTCTGAGGAATGGCGAAGTCCAAGGGTGTGTCTTAGCTCTGGCCAGTTTTCTCACCAGAAGGAGTTAAGGGCACCCCGGTACCACGGGACCCACATTTCAGAGGGGAGATGAGTTAAGGACCTCAGGCTACACTGTCTCTTTTGTAACTGTTCCTATTAGCTCTGTCACTCTTTTCCTCCATACTCATTCCACCCAAATGAAAGTATTTAATTTGGTATTCATAACAAACTGATCTCAGATTTGTACTGACTAACTAACCCCATGTTGTTACAACCTAAGAAGGATACAGAGCAGGTAAAAGGGAAAACCTAAGCTATTAGCTCAAAAACCCAGTTCTTACAGAAAATAGTTGGAAAAATATAGATGAAATACTCAAGTAAATGAACTAAAATATTGGATTTATTTAGCCTGTGTAAATGCTGAGTCT